GCTCCTGTGAAGCTGCACACGCTATGTCAATGAAGTGGCTATTTCTGCGAAGAATGCAATAACGTGAGGATCTCTGCTTTACAACCACTGATTAGACAATATACCATTCATACATTCTATCATCTTTAAAGGTGCTTTGGGGATTTAATTTCACACTCTTGTTAATAATTCTTTTAAACCTTTATAGATTTAGAACATAGAACATAGAACAATACAACACAGTACAGGCCCTTCAGCCCACAATGTTGTGACAAACTTTTACCCTAAACCTAAGGTCTATCTAACCTCCACCCCTACTTTATACTATCATCCATATGCCTATCTAATAGCCGCTTAAATGCCCCTAATGAAGCCGATTCCACTACCCTCTCCGGCAATGCATTCCACGCTCCGACCACTCTCTGAGTAAAGAACCTACCTCTGACGTCTCCCCTATATTTACCTCCACTCGCTTTAAAACTATGCCCCCTCGTAATAGCTACCTCCACCCAAGGAAAAAGTCTCTGGCTGTCCACTCTATCTATATCTCTGATCATTCTGTACACCTCTATCAAGTCACATCTCATCCTTCGTTGTTCTAAAGAGAAAAGCCCTAGCTCTCTCAACCTTTCCTCATAAGACCTTCCCTCCATTCCAGGCAACATCCTGGTAAATCTCCTCTGCACCTTTTTCCAACGCTTCCACATCTTTCCTGTAACGAGGCGACCAGAACTGGACACAATATTCCAGATGTGGCCGAACCAGGCTTTTGTATAGCTGGAGCATAACTCCACGGCTCTTGAACTCAATCCCTCTATTAATGAAAGCTAACACACCATATGCCTTCTCAACAACTCTATCCACCTGGGTGGCAGCTTTCAGGGGACTGTGGACATGAACCTCGAGATCCCTCTGCTCCTCCACACTGCCAAGAATCTTTCCGTTAACTCTGTATTCTGCTTTCAAGTTTGTCCTTCCAAAATGAATTACCTCACACTTTTCAAGGTTAAACTCCATCTGCCACTTCTCAGCCCAGCTCTGCATCCTATCAATGCCCCTTTGTAACCTAGAACAGCCCTCCGCGCTATCCACGATTCGACCCACCTTCGTATCGTCCACGAACTTACTAATCCACCCTTCCACTCCTTCATCCAAATCATTTACAAAAATCACAAATAGAAGAGGACCCAGAACAGATCCTTGCGGTACACCACTCGTAACTGAGCGCCATGTTGAATATTTTCCATCCACTAAAATTTCTCTTAACTTCAAGGCAGTTTAAAGATAAAGGATGCTGAACTGGAACCAGGTGGCTTGAGGGAATGTAGCTGATGGAGAAATTTTTGACTTTGGAAGGACCAAGGAAAGACACAGGTTTGGCAGAAAGGCCTTCTGCAGTTTGACAGGACTAGAAAGTGTGACTGCTTCATTGCAGTCCTGGGGACCTTCTGGGGTACTTTTACTGGTTATCATTGACAGTAAAATTACAGACTTGGCACAATTGGGTGGAAAGTGAATGCCACAAATTTGCTGGTTCTATACATATTTGAAATGGCCAGTCATCCTTTGACACAGTACATGGTACAAGCCACAAGTTGCAAGGTTCTAGTCTCACTCCAGAACCTGCGCACAAAAACGAAGTCCTAAAGCTGATGCAGTACTACGGCGTCCTGCACTATTTGTAGTGGCATTGTTTCGATACAATGTTAAATGGAAACCCCCTCCACCCTCTCAGCTGGACATGAAAGATCATGTGGTACTATTTCAAAAACAGTAGAGAAGTTATCCCCAGGATCTAACCTTCAATTAATATTACAAAAACAGATTATCTGGTCAATGTCACATTGGCATTAGTGGTAGTCTACTGCATGCAAACTGGTTGCCATATTTCTTTATTAGAACATTCACCATGCTTCAAAATGCATTTGATTAGCTGTGAAGTGCTTTAAGATAGTTTCAAGTTTAGTTTCACCAGGAATTGTTTCAAGGCAGCAGATATTTGAACCAACTGTGGTCAGTTAGCTCAGTTGGATAGAGCGTGGTGCTAATAATGTGAAGGTCGTGAGTTCAATCCCCGTGCGGGCCAACCTTTTGGGCGACACGGTCGTTAGCACTGCTGCCTCACTGTGCCAGGGACCTGGGTTCGATTCCACCCTCGGGCGACTGTCTGTGTGGAGTTTGCACATTCTCCCCATGTCTGTGTGGGTTTCCTCCGGTTTACTCCCACAGTCCAAAGATGTGCAGGCTAGGTGGATTGGCCATGGTAAATTGCCCGTAGTGTTGAGGGATATGTAGATTAGGTAGGTTTATCAGGGGATGGGTCTGGGTGGGATGCTCCGAGGTTCGGTGTGGACTTGTTGGGCCGAAAGGCCCGTTTCCACACTGTAGGGGTTCTATGATTCTATGAAGTGTGTTGTGAACCAACACAAACAGGGGTGTCTGAGTGAGGGAAATACTGCCTAAAACCATCCTTTGACTTGGTTCAGCTGCAGTTTGTTACAGTCCTGAGACTGCAGTGCACAAGGAAACAGCCAGAAGCATGTAAAGAAGAAACATCTCAACCATGTCTCACAGACAAAACTGAAGACTCTGAAAAGAACTCTTGCATTAAGAGTTGATCTGATCAACTACTGAATCAATGATTGACCATCACTCTGTGGACAATGTCATGTCACCATCACCCAAAAAACATCAAAAAGAATTGAGAGGGATAATTTATTCCACACTGTGGTCTACATTCGAACTACGGAATTTCTTCCATCTATATTTTTCCATTCATAATATTTGTGACAAACCATCTGGTTTTGTTTTTCTTATTCATGAATGAATATGTATATTTGGGATGTTAAAGGGTTGTAGCTTAAGTTGCATTATAGTCACAAGGACATTCATTTTTGTTTGCCATTTGCTTAAATATGAGTTTGCCTCCAATAAACAGTTAATTTCCTGTTAATGATGAAATCTGATATGATCTACTTTTGTCTTGAATAGCAGTCAGTCAGACAAATTGATAATATTGGTGTTGAATTTTAACAGTTTGGCCCAACCACCTTGAGCTACTAAACCAATGGCCTTCCTTCCATTATAAAAAAGTCAAAAGTGATGATTATACAACGTTCAGCATCTTTCGCAACTCCTCAGATATTCCCCTGCTCTTATAATCTATGCCAGCACTGATAAGGCCAAGTGTCCCATATGCCTTGTAAATACTCTATTACTCTGTCCTGCCACCTTCAAGGATCTGTGACAAGCATCCCAAGATTCCTCTGAGCTTCCTAGTGTCTTGCTATTCATTGAGTACTCCATTGTCTTGTTCCTTCTTCCAAAATGCATCACCTCACATTTATTAGGGTTAAATTCCATCTGCCACTGATCTGCTCATCTGACCAAACCATTTACGTCCTACTGTAACCTAACACCTTCCTCCTTACTGTGAATCAAGATCAACCTCTGCATCATTTGCAAACTTATTTACCTACACCCCACATTCTCATCTACTTCATTTATGAATATCTCAAACAATAATGGACCCAGCACTGATCCCTGCGGCACACCACTACACACAGGGCTCCAGTCACACAAACAGCCTTCTACTACCACCCTCTGACTCCTGTCACTAAACTAATTTTTGGATCCAACTTGCCAAGTTACCTTGGGATTGCATGTACCTTTACCTTCTTTATCAGATTCCCATGCAGGATCTAGTCAAAGGCCTTGCTGGAATCCATATAATCTACATCAACTGCCCTACTTTCATTCAAACACTTGGCTACCTCTTCAAAAAATTCAATCAGATTTGTTAGGCACGGCCTCTCTCTGACAAAGCCAGGCTAACTATCAAACCTTGTCTCCCAAAATGGAGATTAATTTTCTCCTTCAGTATGTTCTCCAATAACTTCCTTATCAATGACATCAGACTCACTGGTCTATCCCATCACCTTTCTTGTAAAGTAGAACCACATAAGCTGTCCTTCAGTCCTATGGCACCTCCCCTGTGGCCAGAGCTGACTTAAAAATTTGCGTCATGGCCCCTGTAATTTCCAGCCTTGTCTCCCAGAGAAGCCCGAAACAACTCATCTGGACCCATGGATTTGTCCACTTTTAAATCTGTCAAAATCTCCAATACCTCCGTAGTTCTTGTTTCAATCTGCTCAAGACCTTCACAGTCCATATCCTCAAATTCTGTATTTGCATCCCCCTTCTCCTGCAGAAAGACAGATGTGAAGTACTCATTTAGCACCCTACTGTCCTCTGACTTGACACATAGATTGCCCCATCCTTGGGCCCTAAAGGGTAATTTTCTTCCCTTTGAAATACTTAGAATATTTTGGGATTTTCCCTAATCTTACCTGTCAGTATTTTTTCCATATCCCCTCTTTGCTCTCCTCATTGCTTGAGTGTAATTTAAACACCCCGTACTAATCCAAGAATTCCCAGACTGAGTGTACTCAATCTGTTAAAATTCATACATACATGCATAGAACAAGCACATCTATCCAAGTCTAAATACCTAGGAGGCATAGTCATACTAAATTTCACTCAAGAACTTCAATAGCAAATCCAAATCTTCTTCAGTTTCCAACTGACAGGCCTTTGGCATACAAAATACTTTGCTTCTGATAAGAAGTGACAATGCTAAGTTCACACAAAGTTTCCTTTTTGGTAAAACTGCAACTCATGTCTGAATATCCACTTGTTTCCTTCACCGGCCATCTCATTCAAACTCTCAGAACATTGGAAGATAAACAATCAACAATGTATCCTTGCTTACTGCTATTCTGCACCATGATTATGAGAAATATACCTGAAACGATCCTTTTCCTATTATGGGTGCTAGTTCCAAATTCTGCCAATGTCCTCCTCTATTTCTCAGGCAATTTTCTTTTCCGATTGTTTTTCAGATCCAATTTTCCCTCATTAGCAGGAATCAACTAAGCACTCATATTATCACAGGATCAATTTCTGGCCAGGTAAGTCAAAAGAACATGATTAATGGAGCATATGTAACATGAAATGTTTACCTGAAATCTTTGAGGTACAGTACCATCTGTAGTGGTAAGGATTAGCTGCTTTGAACTGGAGCTTTCCGGTGTTGTCAGAACAAGTTTGCCTTGGACTGGGCTGTCTCCTTCTTCCAGTATCACTTTTGCCTCACCTCTACCTTCTGGACTGGCCAAAATAAACTGTTTGGAGGCTACAGCTGTATCTAAAGCCGTTACGATTTGTATCTTCTGACCTGTTTGTTCATCAGTCACAATCTGCAAAACATTGTTAGTAACTTATTTTATAACCTGGTCCATGAAAAATCATGTTTTAATGTCGGTCAGGGGTACCAGTGTTGGAGCCTACTACCTGGAAATAAAACAAAACCATTCACTTCTTTTAAGTTGTATTTTTATTCTATTTGTATTTAGTTCTATTAGTATATATTATTTTTCAGACATTTATGTTAGACACGTTACATTTTTGAGATTTGTGCTGGATGCTCTACTCAGGTAGAGTATCACCCAAGCAGCCCCAGGATGAAAATTTGCAACTAGGAATTGAATGAGAATTGACTTAGGCCCTGAACATTTGGTTGCTTTATAATGCACTCTCAGATGATGCTCCACATCATTCAAATGACATATAGTGAATCAGGCCAAAGCTCAAGCTATACCACCAAACAAACCATGAATATTGTTGAAAAGAGAAACAGTTTGTCGACCGTTTTCATCTTGCACGATTTCAACTGTACAAAATGGGTGACAGCTCTTCCCTCAGTCACTCCTCAGGGAAATACCTTGACCAGAGTCATTCTGTCTGGTTTAAATTTAAGTCAGTCAACAACTAACCGGTGCATTCTCCACAGCTATGCCTCTCCCAGTCATAAAAGACAAAGTAGGAACAGGGGAAGACTGCATGGCCCCTCAAACCTGCTTCACCATTTAATAGGATCATGGTTCATCCAATATTCCTGCCTTTTCCCCGTAACCCATTATTCCACCATTGATTAGGAATCGATCCATCTCAGCCTTAAATCTATAAATGGACCTGGTCCCCACAACTTCCTGTGGGAAGGACTCAAAACCCTCTGACAAAGTAAATTCCTCGTCATCTCAGTCTTAAGTTGGTGCCTCTTTATTCTGAGGCTACGTCCTCTGGTCCTACCCTTTCATTTGAGGGGAGAGATCTTCTCAGCATTTACCCTGTCAAGCCTCTTAAGAATCCGATGTGTTTCAATAAGATGTCCTGTCATTCTTCTGAACTCCAAAGGAGAGTACCAACCTGTTTAACCTTTGTTCATAAGGCAATCCCCCATACCAGGGATAACAAGGTGTAGAGCTGGATGAACACAGCAGGCCAAGCAGCATCAGAGGAGCAGGAAGGCTGACGTTTCGGGCCTAGACCCTTCTTCAGAAATGGGGGAGGGGAAGGGGGTTATGAAATAAATAGGGAGAGAGGGGGAGGCGGATAGAAGATGGATAGAGGAGAAGATAGGTGGTGAGGAGACAGACAGGTCAAAGAGGCGGGGATGGAGCCAGTAAAGGTGAGTGTAGGTGGGGAGTTAGGGAGGGGATAGGTCAATCCAGGGAGGACGGACAGGTCAAGAGGGCGGAATGAAGCTAGTAGGTAGGAGATGGGGATGGGGCTTGAGGTGGGAGGAGGGGATAGGTGGGAGGAAGGACAGGTTAGGGAGGCAGGGACAAGCTGGGCTGGTTTGGGGATGTGGTCAGGAGAGGAGAGATTTTGAAGCTTGTGAAGTTCACATTGATACCATTGGGCTGCAGGGTTCCCAAGCGGAATATGAGTTGCTGTTCCTGCAACCTTCGGGTGGCATCGTTGTGGCACTGCAGGAGGCCCAGGATGGACATGTTGTCTGAGGAGTGGGAGGGGGAGTTGAAATGGTTCGTGACTGGGAGGTGCAGTTGCTCAGTGCGAACCGAACGTAGGTGTTCTGCAAAGCGGTCCCCAAGCCTCCACTTGGTTTCCCCGATGTAGAGGCCACAATGGAAACAGCGGATACAGTATACCACATTAGCAGATGT